ATTTGTCTCACAGGTTGTAAGTGATTCCAGCGACCTGTGTAACAATGCTTGGCATGTCAGAGTTGGAGGAAAGTCTGTAAGGAAACTGAACTTGCCCTTCATCAGAGGGCTGGGGAACCTACCAAAGAGCACCTCATAATTTTTAGTATGAATAACATCATGTTTATAATCACTTGTAAAGTCTTCAAACTATAAACCCCATCAGTGGCAATATTCCAAGTTTGAATCAGAGAACTGATATTGTTGTCAGTTATGGGTGGCTTAGACATCTGTAGAATGTTGGCAGATAACAGTTACTACATTTTATAAGAAGTTCTCTATAAAGAAAACTTCGGATCAAGAGAACATGGCATACCATCATAATAAGCATAATGACATTATATTCAATGATATGAAGTAACTTTTCCTTAGACTTGTCATCTTTCAATGGAGGGTCACAAATTAGATTGAAATTTTCCTAGGAGGAAGGTTTGTCTTATTTTTTTTGTGGGAAGATTGGTAGATCTAAGTGTCTCTAGTAGTCATGCAGAAAAAGGCAGGTCTAGCATTAATTTAAGAAAGGGAGCTGTAGCCTATGTCAACCAGAGGGGGGACTTTAGATCTGGGAAGGAATGACCAAGAGACTCAGGGCCTTGTCCTCTAATCATCTTTGAGCAAAAGAGGAGTTTTTAGGAGCCATATTTGTGCTCAATCAAACTAAGAAGAGCAAAGCTTAAAATAACCTGACGTACGTATTTTTTCTATAAATTGGATCCCCCATAAGCCTTTTTACAACATACTTGACCTTCCACTTCTGCTATTATCTCTCCATCTTTTTAGTAGGGCAAAACTTTTGTCATACAAAAATCTTCTCACATCAAAAAAGTTTCATATAGATACATAGATGATAGATAGATAGATAGATAGATAGATAGATAGATAGATGATGATAGATAGATAGATAGATAGATAGATAGATAGATAGATAGATAGATTTTCTGTCTTGCTTACTGAAAAATTTCTGTAACAAATTTGGTAGTCATTTCAATTTATTTATTTATTTATTTATTTTTATTTATTTTTTGTATTTTAGTACAGAGTCTACAGGGTCTCACTGTGTAGATCGGACTCGTAGTGATTCTCCTGTTTCAGCCTCCCAAGTGCTGGGATTACAGGCATGCGCCAAGTCTCAATAGAGGTCCCAGCATGACCCCAGGACGGGACTGGCACAGTAGGCCCAGTGCTTTAATCCACTGAGCTAGTTGACCAGCCCTCATAAATTGAGAAGGATTTTTGGTTTTTGGGGGGTTTTTGGCAGGCTCAGGCTGCCTTAAGGGCGGGTTGGCCTGGCATGCAGAGCTGGGGGTCAAACCGTGGTCCTCCACTCCTGACTGGGTTTGCCCATGCAGGCACTTTTTTAACTGAGTTACCCGGCAAGCTCCACTCCCCCGCATTTCAATTTTAAGATGTCATTTTTTTTCTGTTTGTCGTTGTTGTTCTTGTTGTTGGACTCACAATGTTACACTTTTTGATTTTTCTGTCTGCCAACAGACTTGCCAGAAACTTTGAATAAGCATGCTTATCTAAGCAGCAGGAGAAATCAGAAAGAAAAACAAGCTAACTCTGTAACTATAGTTTAAAAATTTACAGTGCACAAGAAATGTTTTCAGCATATTAATTTAACGAAATACCAACTTAACTTGGAATCCAAAAATAAATTTATTAATTAGCTAAGATTTGTAGCAGTGGGCGCATGATTGTGCCTCTGGGTTGGCTTTCATGAATAACTTATGATTCACTTTCTGTTTTTATCAGGGCATAGGGGTTTTGCTTTGCTTCTTTTATTAAAATAATTTTATTGAGAAACAAATAGCAATGAGACAATTTCCAAACCAATTAGTAGGACAGTTTCAATAATTAATACATTGCATATTGTTGTCTTCTTGGTGGTTATTCATAGTACAAGATGTAGACATGATATCCTGTCCACAAACACTATTAGTACAACACTTTCTATTCATTGAATTAAGAGAAAGTAGCTGTGGGGCCGGGGAGATGGCTCAGTAGAATAAGCGCTTGCCTGGCAAGCACAAGGGCCTGAGTTCAATCCCTGGTTCCACAAAAAGAGAGAGAGAGAGAGAGAGAGAGAGAGAGAGAGAGAGAGAGAGAGAGAGAGAGAGAGAGAGAGAGAAAGTAGCAGTATATCTATCCTAACTATTTTGAATGTACAGATACAAAATGGTCCTTCATTTGGGGTACCTCTCATTAACAAATTCAAAGCAATACTAAGTGGCCCCATAAAATTCCTTTTGCATTTAGGACACTTTTGCTGTGGCTTCATCTTTTTATCCTGTTGATTATTTTTGCAATCCTTTTGAAGATGGCCTTCTTTGTAACAATCATAACATTTGCAGGGTTGCAAAGCTGCGGCAAGAACCTAGGCTCTGTGGGGTTCCTTTCTTACATCTTGACAACCCTTAATGATTTTAGCAATGTTTAAAATTTTCCATTAATAAGTATTGGGACTTTGTGACAATCTGAATTGACATTTGTATATGCTAGTTGAGGATTGTCATGACAACCAAGAGACAGTGTCTGTAGCCTACTTTTGTATTTTGGCTTGTGTGCAAGGTTATTTGATCACTGCAAGTGTCTGTTTTAACTTTTCTTCCATTGGTTTCACTGCTCTTAAAATAATGTTGGGTGCCCTGTATCCTCTATATGGATTGGGATATCTAGGTGTAGCAGGCCACTCAAAAATCCAGTGGGACCTATCTCCGTCTCTGCTAAGACCCATTAAGTGCAGGCACAGAACTTCCTATGTGAGCTCTTTTTTTTTTTTTTCCAAAGTTTTATTGATAAACAGATAGCAATGAGACAGTTTCAAATCAAATCGGAAGTACAGTTTCAACAAATAATACACTGCATATATTCTTCTTAGTGGTTAATTGCTGTACAAGATGCGGACTTGTGATCCTATTTACAAACACCATTAGAACAAATCATTCTATTCTTTAAGAGAATGCAACTATATATCTATCCCAACCACTATGAATACACAGATACAAAATGGACATTCATAGGTATACCCCATTTTTTCTAAGTTCCGTTATTGATAGGTGAGCTCTTGATTGTAAAAGAAATGAATTTATTTGACTAGGCCCCAGTTGGACTTGAGAGGCTGTGGAAGCAAGGCCTTGAATTATACTCTTGTAAAAGCAGTGTTGATAGGCACACCACAGTCGAGAAGCTGTGTGTTTTTATTTTTAATCAGAAGAGTTTGCCCCTAGGGCCCACAAGATAGCTCAGCAGACTAAGCACCTGTGTAGGCAAATGTAGTGACATGGGTTCAATCCCCAGCACCGCATGTCACTCCGGCCCACACCCTGGCACACTGAGCCCACCTGGGTCATGCCTGTAGTCCCAGCTCTGGGGAGGCTGAAAACAGAAGAATCACTGTGAGTCCAAGCTGGGTAGTGAGACCCTGTACCAAATAAATAAATAAATAAATAAAAGTTTGTTCCCATATTGTAGGATATTCGGTCCCATTTTTATGTTTATCTCTTATATACCAATAGAAAAAGCTTTCAAATTATTATATATAGGTAATGATAGGCATTGTATTTATAAAGCAAATTTTGATAGCATTTCAATTGGCTAAAAACCTGAAAGAAACCATCTCACCAAATTTAAGGCCATCATTAATGTTACCAAGCAATTTAAACTATGGCACTATTAAGCTACATAAACCAAAAGGCCCTTTGATTAATATCATGAGTGTCTGTCTAGAAACCTATTTAAGTAGAATTTTATGTATGATAATATATAGATATATTAAAGTTAATACACACATGAAGAAATATATTTTAGTCAAAATTCCATAGAACATATGACTTATACATTACCGAACTTTTTTTGTGGTTTTTTTTTTTTTTTTGCGGAACCAGGGATTGAACTCAGGACCTTGCACTTGCCAGGGAAGCCCTTATTCCACTGAGCCATCTCCCCGGCCCCTACATTACCAAACTTTAAGGCTTTTATTTGTATATACCCTCTAAGTCTATTACTCTATTTTATAATGAGCTTTATTGCAGCTCGTTGTCTCAAAAACTAGAAGGTAACATGGGCAAAAGTAAAAGGAAACACATTCACATGAACTTAAAAATCTTGAAAGAAGCCTCTGAATGTATTCTACCTAGTTAATGAAACAAATTAACAGGTAGATGAACAGACAAAATAATATACACAGCACATAAAGCAGTTATATTTAATCAGAAACAGATGTTTTTGCCTTACCTTTGAGCCTTTGTGAAACTATTTGTAGGAGTTGCTATTTTCTTGATAGAGTTGTCCCAGCTCAGCACATATTTTTGGCTTGATTTTTGTTGCTTTTAGCCCTT